GGAACAAGGAGGGGGACACTTTCAGCAGCTGCTTTAATTTATTGTTATAACAAGGAGGGGGACACTTTCCGCAGCTCCTTTAATTGTTTGTTATTGTTATCACGATTATTCTTTAAAATAAAGTTATATAGTCATTAACGTTATTGAAACTGACAGCTGCTATACAGCTCGTTGAGAAATAAGGTTAGGTTGGTCGCTATAAGCTACTCCCTACGTCCAATGTGTCTGAGCCAACTTCGACCACGTTTTTATTTGAACGCTCGTTATAACTTTTCATCTACAGGGTGAATATAAGCTAAGTTCCATATTTTCATAAAAATCGGATCTACCCGAAAGTGTTCGGAGGTTTTACCCTATTTTTCTCTTCGTTCCCCTGGACTATACTTGGTTTGCCCGACAAGTTATATATTTTTCTACCTCTCCAATGCCTTTCAAATTAATTTCCAATTCCAAGAACGTTCCTATCGAGGTTGACGCCACGGAACTGTTCGATTCAAAGCATCTTCTGTTATGGTCGCCTTAAAAAAATGTAAAAAACGCGAGAGACTCCCGTTACTCGCCGTCTAGCAGCGATCCCCACGAAAATTGGGCGTGGTAGAATAAATATTACATTAGCTCGATTTCCACGAACAACGCGATCGTTTAATTGCCTCCGTATTAAATTGATTTTGTGCTGGTCCTACTGAATAGTTAGAAATGTGTGAGAATTCGTCGTCGTCACATAATACCCAGAAGTATGACAGTTATCGCGACGATTTTACTTTTATATTATTTAACTTGAATACCAAATTTCTTTCAGTCATAAAATGTAAATGGCCTCCAAGATCACCAGATCTCGGTCCAATTGACTTTTCGTTTTGTGAGGTGTTTAAAAAGTTGACACACTTGTCTCTGCAGTTCCTACAGCGCCACTTTTCAAACAGCCTATACTTTAAAAGATTATTCAAGAAATGTAAAGTGCCTCTATCTCAGTTTAAGTTATTTTACAATAACAACGAGTAAACTGACGAGTCTGCAATAAGGTCTCCCCATAAATGCGTTTGGAATGAAACGTTAAAAGAATGTAGACCCGATAAACATAATCTTAAGATAACAGCTGATCTATGGGTCAAACGGTACAAACATTATAGTAATATAAAATATGTTCGAGTCACTTATGGAATATACAGTTTGTTTGATTATGAAGGCCCCGGTGACGACATCGATATTTTTTTTAATGGGATTGTATACATTTTTTTGCACGTTTTGATTTTTTTTTTGAAAAAAAAATGAGAGAACTTTCAGCCTTTGTCTTTAGTTTACGGTGCCCGCTTTCTAAATCATATCAAATAGAAGGCGCTGGAGAAACAATTTTGCATACTGCTATCTGTCACATATCGGTTTGTTTATAATAATTGTTGTCACCTTTCAAGTTTAACTTATAACAAAATGAATGATTTTAATGAAGAAATTGAATATTGATTTGTTGCCGCTACACACAAAATCACCCCCCACCAGATGTGCTTTAGAAAACTTAATTTTCGCGCTAAGCTCACTTATAACGTACTTCAGCAATTTTACAAAAATGTAAGGGTTCACCATTTTCCTCCCTATTGTATCCTCGAAATAGTAGAAAACCCAAACCACTTCCACACGACATCGAAATCACTCCGATCGGACCACGCCTGCGCCCAGTGGTAGCGACCGAACATTTATCATGCTTTAAAATTTATTATAGTATATTTAGGAACATTCAATTTTTTAGTTCAAATATAAATTTGAAGACAATAATTCGGAAAAAAAAACTGAAAATAATTTTTTAATTTCCTGTAGAGTATAAATAAAAAAATAAATTTTGAACAAATAATTCCTACATTATTTTTTTTGTGAAACCTATACTTCAGTTGTTCTAGATTTGTTTAACTGTGTGGTAAGAAGCTTATTTTGAATCTAAAAAAATTATAAAATATGTTTTCTCGAATAAATTGGAAGATATTTTTTTCTTTCATGAATTACACACTTGTGTACGTATTAGTGGACTATTTGGCTATATTTCAAAAGTAGACTTCTGGTTTATCTCTCATGCTACATCTTAGCCAACATTTCGTAAAAATATCCGAAATCAGGTCACCAGGAAAACCCACAGACCCATTTCAAGCGGCTCCAAATTTGCTACTACACAAGATGTAAAATATTTGGCCAAGATACAGGATGTTAAAGTTTGACGTACTTCCAAAGCAAACGTCAATCGCAATTTGTATCGCAAGTGAACTTTGTTTGGATTTTTTTAGTTCTTTTTAAATATACAACCTTCATATTAATTAGGTATATTTAACTGACTATGTTGTGTTACTTTTCCAACTAAAAAAAGCAAATTCGCCGTCTATAAAAGTCAACATACTCTGGAACATACTTTCCTTGATACTCGATAGTATCTTGTTCATCGATTGTCCCAAATCGGTACCCCTATAATGTAAAAACATTCGTCTTTGACACTATTGTCGACTTTAATCAGTATACCAGCATATTCATTTAATATTCATTTATGTCGATTGTGTTTAATTTATGAACAATCACATTAGAATTAAAAAAGTTACAAATACAAACAGAAACTGGTTGAAAATCTAATAGTTTGATATGTTGCAACTGAAATGAATGAAAACGAGAGTAAATATTCTACAGAGTGTTACGAAAAAAGCAACTTAAGTCACATTTTTCTTGAGAGGTAATACTGTCATTTTTCTTGCGTCTTTTTATTTTGAAGTTTTTTTTTACAAAATGTTGTTTATCGAAATATTAAGTTGATATTTTACACAGACTTACTTTGCGTAGACACATTTTATGTTTGTTTTGTTTTTTGAATTGCAACATTGGAATGACGCTAATTAGTATTAAATTATCCAAATGTCTAAAACCAAATTAACCAAACTGTTGCCAAAATTAGTTAATACTTCAGAATACACAATTTTATTTAAAAATACCAAGCCAAGTTTCGAAAAAAAAACCTGGGTAGGTATATCCAATAAATTGGCAATATCTCGTAAACCAAGTCCCAAATAAAAATTTTGCAAAGTGGAAAAAGTAAAAGAAGGAAATGCCCGATTTAAAAAACATATCCACTGAACCACAGGCGTACGTAGGCAAACTTTGGGGGGATTAATG